CTACAACTCCAATTCACAGGAATGAGAGTTCTGATTTGTTGCATAGATTTTGTTCAATATTGTCCCCTCTAGGACTGCAAAATTAATACCGATTTTCACAGGCGTTTACAGCAGGGTGCATCCGTGCATAATACCTCTGCTGCGTAGTTTGTCGGTCGACAAGAAGTAAATAAGCGCACAGCCACATAAGTTTTAAACAGGTTGATAGGCAACGTGGCAGCGTTAGGCGGTACAGTTTCATAAGCTTCTGTAGCTCTGAGTTTGTCAAATAAATTCGAAACCCCTTCCTGTAGGCCTTTCTAAAAGAGGGCTCCTGGTCGGTTCCATGTTTAGCGTTGTTGCGTATGGCGCGTGATTTTCTCGCTTTCCGAAGCAACGAACATGCGCGTGCTGGGCTGAGGACTTTTATACATTGGAATGGTGTATCATAGCCAGACTTGTACCGTACGCATTACAAGTAATCAAATTACTTGTAATCGATTACTTTTTGGAGTAATTTTGTAATCAGTTGATTACTTTTCTTATGCAGTAATCACAAGAGTAATCTGATTACTTTTTGAAGTAATAAAATTACTTGTAACCGTTACATTTAGTCCACGGGACCCCCCCCCCCCGGCACACGCCTTTTTTTATGATCTGACAAAAATAAAATTTGTTTTTCTTTTTTCGAAAGGAAAAAAGAAAGATTTTTGCGGAGCTGTAGGGAACGAGGTGAATCTCTTTCTATGTACAGTTTCTGTGGAATATCCGTTTTTTTCTTCTTTCGAGCTGGGACTGGGAGTAGGAAGCCCCAGGGAAGCCACAGTGCGTGACAAAGGCCATTCAGGGCGAAGTTTGAGGAAGCAGAATGTAGCTTTGTGAGTCCTTCGTTCAAACTCACGCACACACACACAGAAATAAAAATATAAAAGAATCCTGCTTAGGGTACCTACTCGCAGCCCGTAGGAGAACCAGAACCGAAGAATGCCTAAAGCGAATGCAAAATATAACAAAGGCAGTTGAAATATTTCCCCATTTCCCCTACGTGGTCTTTGTGACAAGCAATGTTTCGAGTTGAGAAGTGGTCGCGGCAATCTCTTCCGGCTAATGGATACTACACATGATCCGTTTCAAATCCTGGAGCTGCTGCTCTTTTGTATAACATGCGAGCTCATCCACATGTGAATAATGAAATGAGCGACGCAAACTTTGAGCGACAGCCCTTGCTCAAGCTTAACAAGATCTAGAACCCCCTCCGCTCTCCCCCTCCCCTCCCCTCCTCCTCTCCCCCCCCCCCCCCCCCCCCCCACACACACACACACACACTGGCGAACGCCCAAAGCATTAAACGTCTTCAAACGAATTCTATGCCTGTGTCCGCATTGTGATGGTGCAATGGCCACGAGGACGGAGCCAGTTTTTCTTCTTCAATACTTGTGCAAATGTGAAATATTGGTTGGAAGTAGTTCATTGTTATGAGCGCTAAAGATGTAAGTCTTCACACAATAAAGTAATCGGAAAAGTAACGATTACTTCTTTAAGTAATGTCCAATTACTTTTGCCGTCGAGTAATCAAGTAATCTAATCGAATACTTTTTAGCCAAGAGTAATAGTAATTGTAATCGATTACTTTTTTTTAGTAACGTGTACAAGACTGATCATAGCCTCCTTTATACTCACAAAGCCTGGCAGTTCGACGACGGAGTCCTAGGGTGCCCGGTCGCAGATTTGGAGCGCGAGGATCTGGTAGCACAGAGCATCAAAGAGCCATTTCACGGAGAACCTGGACGTCAGCGCACAGCTTTTGCAGCGGCAAGGACCCGAAACACACTCGTTCGCTCGGGAGAAGTGTGTTTCGGCGGCTCGTTGCAGCGGGGCGCCAGTCACGTGGCTCTCCTCTCATCCGTTTTCTGCCGCTCCACCTTTTCCACTTCGGCGGCCGCTTCTCGTGGTGATCTGCCAGGCTTTGTCAGTATTAGCGGCGAGATGTTTCGGTGGCGCCCTCGTTCGGTTACCTTTCGTGACGTCATTACCTTGTGAACAACAAGTTTGATGGTGTTTATAATGGGCATGGTGGAAGCCTCGAATCATAGCGCTCTCAAAGCAACACTGCCAACACCGTCAAAATTGAAGTTCTTACATTTCTCTTATTTCCGTCGATGAGACATCCTTTGCTGACGTCATAGTCAGCATTCGGCCAATTGTGATGGGCCGACCACATCGACTCTCGTTCGCTCACGTCGCCAATAGACGCTTTGCAGCAGCTGTGCATGGGCGCCGCCATAACTGACCTTCAGTTTTTGTTCCCCCTTATTACGCTTATTTCATTTCATTATTACCATAGCAGGCCAGGTTATTGACATCTTAGATTGTATTCTGTCTTGCTCCCCAGCATTGGCCTTTGTGGAGGCTCGTCCACACCAATTTCAGTGGCTCGGTATCTCGGTAAAACAAGAGAAGGTCAGCAATGGCGGCTGTATTCTGGCGCGTGTGTAAAGCGTCTATAGAGGAGGCTATGGGCGTACATACACCGCTCGTGCTCGTAGCTTGTATTATGAGATACTTTCAGGCGAAGTGCGCGAGAAAAATATTCACTATACTCCGTCTCACCTTAAGCGCAAGCGAGGACGAAGCTACAAGCGCGAGCATGTCTCCCTGAACAGGGATTGCATGCCTGCACGAGCGCGCGTGCTAGTCAGGGACCCGGAAAGCCGGGAGCTCGCTCTTGAAGCTTCTTCCACGCTCACACTTCGAGTGAAACAGACTAAAAATATACAATTCTCGCGTGCTGACGTTTGAGTCGAATGTTAGAATAGGCTCGCGGCATACGTGGCGTCTATTTTCATGTTAGGGAATATTTTCTACGTAGGTGCCGACAGTTCTATAACTTCAACATCTTTTACGAAAAAAAAAAAAAAAAATCACAGGGTGACGTGAACGGGGAACAAATGTTTTATGGGTGACCTTTCTTGGCGTCAGCGCCTAAACGCGCCCTTGCTCGAGGCACTTGAGCAAAACAGGCGACGAGTTGCGAGAACGAAGCGGAGGTCCGAAGCGGCGCTCTTACGCGAATAAAAAGGAAAAACGTAAAAAAGAAGTTTTTACGCCACATGCGACCCACTGCTGTTCGCAGGGCGCCCGCCGTCGAGTTCGTTATCCTCGAGTAATAAAAACTGCGCAGCGTAGTAACAGAGCGATGTTGTTTCAGAAATGCTGTAAATACCGTCCCCGCGCCAAAGTTTTTTTTTTTTTTTTTTAGATTTGAAAACGTGTGTGGCAAACGGTTGGAGGAAAGATTTTGTGCCATACCGTATGTTATTAAAAGACATTTTTCTTTTCATCGGTAATCTTTCTAGAAATGCACAAAACGCGAGCCGGCTGGTGAAGAACTTTCATAGTAACCGAAAACACAAAAGAAAAAGACAAAACAAAAAAACAGCAAGTCTTAAAGAGACTTGTTGTTCTGTTCGTTGTCTTATGGTTCGACTTGTTGTTTTGTTTGTTTTTTATCGTTCCGTGTCTTCGGTTGCTATGGAAGTAAACTCTGTCACGCGGAGAGGTCAGAGGAATAAAGGAAACAGTTCAAACATGAACTTTCTTTTCATATTTTTTTTTTTTATTGACTTGAGTGCTTTTGTTCTCGGTCGCTAGAATGAGAAGGCAAAGGGCCGCTGAAGCGATATCGCAGTTAAAGCGTCAAAATAATTAAACATACCTTTCGGTTTTTGGAAACCATGCTGCACAAAGGCTCAGGCGTTTGCGTTTCAGTATGGCCTATTGCTTGACGACTCCCCGTATTCCACGACGACGCACTGCGCCGAGTTGAAACTTGGTAACGGTGTGCTAGGCTTGTGCACATAAAGAAATAAATAAAAAAAATAAAAAGAGGAGACAGTGTATGCTTTGTCGCTAACACTTACGGCCTATTTATATCCCCGAGGCAGTGTCGCACTGAGTTTGCAGTTGTCATAAAACCATACATTTAAAAAATATATATAATTTACAATTGCTACCGAGATGCAACTCTCAACATGTCTAATTCTGTGAAAAATGCATTTGCCTACCACGCCATCAAAAAAGTGAAGCTAGGATGAGTACTGCTTGAGGGAGGAGGGCGCGGATATTTTACGGATATGCTATGCGCTATTTACAGCCAAATATAGGCCTCGAGTTCGATCTAGTATGCTCGTACCAAACCTTTGCTTTCCTAATAGTAAAAATATACAAGTCAAAGATGCGTACTTTCGGAGTTCCTACGCTATAGTCGGTGACAGGTCAGGAACGAAGTGGAAGCTCCTCCCACCTCTTTCCACTTTAGTAGAGCGAACGGTGGAAAGGAGGTCGCCTCCTCTCCACCGTTCGCACTACTAAAGTGGAAAGAGGTGAGAGGAGCTTCCACTAGAGAGTTTATTGTATAGACCTTTTCTGCAAGTGCGCCGCCCTCTTGAATTGACGTCACTTCCAGTATGGGCGAAAACATTGTTTTGACTTTGTCACGTTAATAGAAGGTATTTAGGATATAAGCGCAGTCCTCACACTTTTTCGTTTTGCCTCCATTTTATTTTTTTACTATTTGCAGGTTGAAACGTTGGATTATTTTTCCGTCGCCCATACCGGGTACGCCTAGTAGGTGGCTGGGGACGAGAGTACGCAGAAAACGTCTATATATTACGACAGTTTCGCCGAGAGGCTCGGCTTCGTCATATATATACATATTTTAAGCTTTCGACTTTCTTTGATATTTTTCACAAGAACATCTACCGAAGCTCGGAAGAATACGTCTCATTCCAACCGCGTTTCCAGCCTGCCCTCTGGCGCATCCGAAGCGCGCTGCGAGGTCCGTCTGAGATCCACCCGAAGATAAGCCCGCGGATAGGAGCCCACGGCAGCCGCGCTCCTCGGCGCCTCGGCGCATAATCAGTCGCAAGCTGGTTGCCTCCGTTCCGAGAGGGCCGACGGTGTCCTTGCCCTCGTGCTGGAAGTGACACTGGTGACACCGTGCAAGGGTGCTATCTCCCCGCAGTGCGTACCCGTTCCGAACATAGTTGACGTCGTCGTGCTCAAGCGCGGTACAGAAAGTAGCAGTGCGTCGACGCTCGCGGATGCTTCGTGCCAGTCTCGTGCCCCCCACGGAAAACCATGTCGAAAATTAACGCGTCACCGAGATTCGTTACCGTCCAGCAAACGGAAGAGAATACCGTCACCGTTTCTTCCAAAATCTAACCAACGTTACTTTAGATTTCAGTATTTGCCAGCGATAAACCGCAGTTGCAAACTTCGGGGCAATTCAACTTTTTAAGAGCGAGTGGACAATATTTTTATCCTTCGTTTATCAAGTTTGTAGGTCCCTATGGTGCGCGACTATTTAAGGGGATCGAGAATGTCACTTATTTTAGTCCAGCATAACGACTAACGTAATTTGATAGACAATACCGTAGACAAAAAACGAAATTACTCGTAGCTTGTTTCCGGATCTAACGAATACATTCGTGAGTTACTGAAAAGAGTGAGGGGATACCAGTAGCGCGGTTACCTGTAACACGTGACTTGCAAGGCTGCTCTCGGCATCCGCGACGTGACAACGTGCACCGATGCAGTCTGTGCCGAACCCATCAGCCGGCGCAGACGGACAGCCTGCAGACCCCGGAGGACCGGCGCCAGCCGAGATGGCCATCAAGGAAGCACAGCGATATTTCGGGTGAGTCCGGCGGCCGCTTCGAAACGGGCTGCTTGCTCGCGAAGCGGATCCGCTCCTTTTCAACATCAACTGCGACTGAATTTGTATTGCATCTTTAGGCAACCGCTCTCGAACGCGGTTCAATCGCCAGTGTGAATACACCTTGAGCGCAAAAAGAAAATACATCTTTATTTGAAAAAAAAAAAAAAAAAAACCTTGGTAGAAGTGGAGATGTTAGCGGCTGTAGTGCCAGCGCCAGCTATACCCCAGACCATAGATTAAAATAATGAACAATATATATAAATAACTTACTTAAAATAGTTACTTATATACGATAAAATAGTCGTATATAATGTACAATGTCCCAAAGCCAAACCTCACAGCACTATCACCCATCCCTGGTGGGGGAGCACCGTCCCCGGACCGAGCACTCGTCTTCGATATGAGGAGGAGGCACAATGTCACTTGGTCGTCAGACCGACCGATTTCTGAACGATGCCCCGATTCCTCTAGAAATGGGCTGCAGCACAGCAACTCTAAGCCAGGAGAGCACTGCACATGAAAACCACCGTGTGAATAATTTTCACTTAGCTTTGTGTTCATCAGAGAGTCTTCAATATCACATTCTGCTGCGCCCTTAGTGCTCTCCAGAGACGTAGGAGTGTCAAGAGGGAGAATGTCCGGTTATCGATGTTGGACATTTGTTGTCGAAGGTGGTGACGTTCGTCTGTATAACGTCGGCAGTTGATGAGCATGTGTTTGGTATCTTCTATTTCGTCACACCTGGTGCACATGGGGGAATGAACTTGTCTTATTTTATAAAGAAAATGATTTCCAAAAGGAATATGCAATCAAAATCTGTGTATCAGGATCTCAGAGACTCTCGAAATGTATCGCGGCATCCAAAACTTCATCGTAGGGTCGATCCGTTCAAGATGGAAGTTTTGGGGAGCGTCTCTGAACCGTGTTGCTTGGAATTTTCGCCCCGATAAATTTCGCAGCATAATTAATCTATGTCCTTTTGTGAAACTAGTTGCGGTCGTACACTGTTAGCAAGTCCCGTGTATTTGGTGAATATTTGGGGTGAAAAACACGCTATTTACACAAATTACCATAAATTTACACGTTGAGTAACGGATAATTCGTTCAAAAATCATGGGAGGTTGTAAAAAACGTGTTTTCGTTCGGTCATACACGCATAACCGTGTAGCCGACCTCGAAAACACGCACCACCGCCGGCGACGACCGCAGCATTGCCGGCTACCGAAGCACCGGAACGCTTGGGGACACACCTAGAAAGGACCGTGGAGTCAAATTCCGCGGAAAGGAACATGTCTCGGAGACAGATAAGCACCAAAAGCCATGTCGCGAGACGGGGCGAACCCCGCGCTTACCGTGCGTGCTGGCTGCCATTGTTTGTGGTCGACAATGGCAATGCGGCTTCCCTTATGTCGCCCTTGTTTGTATTTATATTAGGGGTCTTGATAATTGTTTCTCACACACCAAAAATAAAGTTAGGCGTATAATTACTCGTTCTAAACAGTTACAATGGCTATAAAAAGCGTGCCCTTGATCTGAACACGCGACATTGCAGTTGGTTTCGTTTTGGCTTCAACCCTTCCAACTGCAAGCGAAGGCCGCCGCTTCCCATGCATCCTCCTCAGAATTTACGGCGCTCCGTGGTGTCCAGTGTTTGCTGCATCTGTAGGTCATCTTTAAGTTAGAGCTGACAGAGAAAATTTGGCCACGGCGTAACGCCGATGTAAGCTGGAAGCTAGAAGCGGTTTGCTTTCGTTGTTTTTTATTTGGTCGGAGAAAATCTGGCAACAACGCACGTTTAACATGGCGCCGGTATTCTTTTGGTTGGGCAAGAAGGTTGGAAGGTGCTCGGTTTGCGAGCACATGTAGCGAAGACGTGACCGGAGACGTGCCCCTGTGATGTTCCCGGACGACGGAAAGCATCATTCGCAATCGTCGTGTGTGCTTGGAAAGCGAAGGGTGTCACCGGGTCCACGAGTGCGCAACCACAAGCCAAGGGTCACGACAGCGCTGCGTTTACTTCGGCGATCTCGTTCTGTTTGGTGCAACGCGGCGATGCGACAAAGAGCTGAAGTGTCCGTGGTGTGTGGTGCGGTGCTTGGAGGTAGAAAGCCACACTAACACGGAGCGCGAATTGGTTGCTGTGGGTTTAGTCCGTCGTAATCAGCTGATCCGGTCCAGCTGGTCCGGGAGGACGCAGCGAGCGTTTTTAAAAGTAAATCTTCCCTCGTTCTGTTTCAAAATGTGGAAGTATACCGACGCATACCGTGAGTAAAAAGCTGTGGGTGTTTTCAACAAAATTACGTCGTTTAAATTGAACAATGGACTCCGGATTGTTGTCCTAGAGCTGCCGTTTTTATGCTTCGTGTTGGACTGCGTTTGCACAGCGACGCACACAGCTCGAGTAGATGACTCGGTCCTGCAAACGACCGGTAACAGAATTTCATGGAAACTTAAGTCACCACTGATATTTTCCTTTAAATCTCGTGCGAGTTTGTTGCGCTCATCATGCGGTGTGAATAAATGGGGGCAAGATTTCCTACCTGCCCACAGATGCATGAACTGAGACCATTTTTTGCGTGGTGAACATAGTGCTTTTTCTTTGTTTTGGAAAGGCGCTGGTGCATTTACTATGGTACAATCACTTAGAGTTGAGAAATTGGAGAGAGCGAGCAAGCTTTTCCAACTTTGTCTGTTTTCTATGGCACTGCCCTGTTTCAGTTTCAGTAGGCATATCTAAAAGCGGGTACAAACTGCTCTAAAGCAGGTAAAAAACAGAAGAAGCTTAGGACGGTGCGGACTCCGTGTTTCGCGCTTTTCGTAAGGTGACTGGGTAAATAAATGCTTTTGCGAGGTATGCGGAGTATGCAAGCGATTTTGTTATGCCTGTCGTTTGCGTCTCTCCAGTAAAACGAATAAGATGATCTACAAAGGCGCAATCACAAGCCAAGATTTACAATAGCAGTGCGTTTGCTTCGGTGGTCCGTGTAGTTGTATTTTACTCTGCTCTCTGCAACACCGTGCCATGACGAAGAGCTGGAACGGTCACGGTTTGTGCTGGCCTCCCCGTTGACAGAAACCCGCATCGCCCGCGTCGGCACCGAGTGCGCTTGGGCTGTTGATGCTCACAAGCCACGAATGCTTTCATCCGTGGCTTGTCGCCAGCTGATCCTGCTGCTAAACGGTGAGGAAGCGGCGAGAGTGACCTCTGAAGTGAATGTAGATCCTCGTTCATTCAGTTATCCGGTGTCAAAGTGTGGAAGATGTCCAACGTGTACTGAGGGCGGGAACTACGAGCGTTTTGCCTTGCTTTTATAACCGGAACCAGAGCAACGAGATAACAGCCTTGCGTACTTAAAAATGACGGAAGCAAAACGTTTCAACAGGTCGAATACGTCACCGGGGTTGTAGGCGAGACGGTGTACACTGTTTAAACGCTTGCAGTATCCACGAGTGGTACCAGGAAAGCGACGTCAGCAGAGAAGGAGCTCGCCATTCAGCATAATGCAGAGCTACGGGCCCGTGTATATTCAAAGTTCGGAATGGTAACAGCGTGGCAGTGTAAAAAAAAAAAAAAAAAAAAGAAAGAAAGACGCATTAGCGTTCTACACCAGTGATCACGAATAACACCGGCCACGAACTCCCGAGCCCCACCGCTCCACTCAACACCGACACGACAGACGACAACAAACTGCATCAACACGACCCAAAAGTGAAAGCGTCTGCTCCTGTACTGCAACTAGCGGAAGTGAAGTGTTGAGCACAGGTCCTTCACAAGAATATATAAAAAAATGCTTTGCGCAAGCATCATTTCCGTTTATTATTAATTATATAATGATAAAATCTTAATAATTAAAAAAAATCTGATTCAAGCTAGTCGGACTGCTCATAACACTGGTCTAGCATAAAAATAACAAAAATTTGAATTTCTTCATGACCGGTTTAGGATTTATTGTCAATACATCGTTATCTTTCGCAACGGACGAACATTATAGATTTTGCCTCCATACTTTTTAAATGCAAAGAGTTCTTACATACGGCTGTCCATTGCGCCGTGTTTTGTGTCTTCTTCTATAAATCTGTAACGGTCAGCGACTAAATAGCTCACCCGCACATGCCAAGCTTATATACGCCGCGGAGAGAAAAGCATGTTAAGTAGGAAGTGTCGGGCGCAGTGTCGGGTGTTGTGTTTGTGTATATGTCGGTGATGTGTAATGCGTGGTATTGGTGTTGTGCGTGATGTATGTAGGGGTTGTGTCTACTTGTGATCGGTCGTAGGCTCGTAGCATATTAACAAACTTTTTTTATAGACTGCTAGAAATCCCGCTAGGTGGCGGAAGTTACCGCCCGATTTCAAATAGTTTGCTCGAGTTATTTGTCCATTTAAGTTCGCTTTTCTGTCTAGCGGCTCGATCGTAGCTACCGTAGCTACCGACGCCGCCGACCGCCGACGACGCACGTACGTATTTTTGCGCGTAGCTACGTCCGCCGCTTGGAGACTGTTTAGTGTGTATAAAAGACATCGAAGGAGAACAAACGCCGTCCTGTGTGCTTTCAATTCAGCCGAAAGGCGCGCGGCTTGCTGGGCTCGTCCCTCGCCTGTTCTCGGCTGCTGGCCGCCATGTTTTATGAGCACGCTCAGCCAACACGCTGAACCGTGCTTAGCGGAAGAAAAACACGGTGTATCGTGTTAAGTTTACACAGCACCTCATGTGTAGACGAAAAACACAGATGGCTGCGTGTAAAACGAACACGTTTCGACGTGTCCGCTATGGGACAACGGTTTACACGTCTGGGCGTGTTATTTTTGCTAACAGTGTAGTGTCCAGATTGTGAGTGTTTGTGGCTGCCAGATCAACCGCTTCGTTTCCTTGGATACCAGTGTCCAATAATCCACTGAAATATAATTTGATTTTCCTGTTTCAATAGCTCTCGAAGTATGAAAGGAAATATTGATGGCAACAAAGGAACTTGTAGGCGCT